CTGGAACAGGCTGCCCAGGGAGGTTGTGGAGTCTCCTTCTCTGGAGATATTCAAGCCCCGCCTGGACGCGGTCCTGTGCAGCCTGCTGTAGGTGACCCTGCTTCGGCAGGGGAGTTGGGCTGGGGGACCCACAGAGGGCCCTTCCAACCCCAACCATTCTGTGATCTGTGAACATTCTGTGAGTTTGACGTGGCTCAGTATTCCTCTTCCTGATGGGTGTGTTGGGTAATAAATCACGGGACGGTTTTTTGCGTGATTCAGAGTGGGACAAGGCTGTTCAATACCACAAATGCACGCTCCCTGTGGGAGCAATTAGGAGTTATAGGCTGGATTTTGATCAAGGGAGTGCTGATTTCACCCAGTTTCGTGGAGGCCAGGCTTTGGCTTTCCACACGATACCAGTGTGCATGCACATTGAATAGCGTGCTGTGATTGTAGCTTGGAAATATTCATAATTGTGTGCGCTTCACTTTTGCTCCCTAAGCGGAATATAAATAAATACACCTGCGTATTTAGCGAGGGCAGATCAATATATCCTCTGTCCCAGTTTTCCTTTACAAGTGGTAGTGGCAGCTTAGAGTGTTTTCCTTGCTATTATACTTCTCTGTTTGACAGGAATAAAATATATTTAACACATTTGCTGGCTGCGCCCTGCCCTAGTCCCAGCAGATTTGCTGAGACCTGGCAAAAGTTGCTCGTACAGGGGCCAAGCGCTCCATCCTTACTCTTATAGCTCTTTCACAAGGATTGGTCATTTTAAATGCTGCTCAGTGCAGAAACCAGTCTAGAACATGATTGTAGGGGATTGCCCTTGCTCTTGTAGGTGTCTGTGTTTAGTGGATGCCTTTTGCAGACCCGTGGCTGTGGAGTGGGTAGAATTTCAAATGTCAAAGCTAAAATGTGAGTTCCTGCCTGGATTTTCTCCCTTGGGAAAAACCCAGCCAGGTCAGCGAGAGTTTTGGCTCATGAAGGGCTTCAGCATTGCCTGGGTACTCCTAAGCTCTTTGGGAAGTGACGTGTAGCTACCTGCCTTCACGAAATCTGCAGTGGGAGAAGAAAAGATGCCCGTGGCAGCTGAGAGTCGGGGGCGTTTGGGAGTGAAATAGATGGTGAGCGCAGGAAAGCTCCCAAATCAGGGCATCGCTGCTGGGTACGCACCAGGGCCAGCTGATGAGGTGTAACCGAGCGTTGCTCTGGGCACCCAGTGATGCTGGGGGTGGCTGTACGTTGGTCCCAGCGCTGCTCTCCCGTCCTGTCCCTCCCAGCAGCGCCGGTGGGGGAACTCCTCTCTGGTCTGCAGGGAAGACCAGAGTTTGAAGAATTGCTCTCAGGATTTTGCTTTCAGCTTTTTGCAGGCAAGCATTCACGTATCAGCTTTCACTTTAACGCCAAGGCGTAGCCACCCTCTCCTCTTGTAGGCTTTTTTCATTGCTGTTGTTGTGGGTGTTTGCTAAATACCACTATCCAAACTGACTCTTAAAAATCATGCTAGATCAGTGTTAGAAAGGATTTTGGTGTTTCCCCTGTTGGGCGAAGCAGGACCCCTGCCCCAGGTCGCAGTGGGAGCCCGAGGGGCTCTGCCTCCCCCGTGCTCCCTGCCAGCGCTGGCAAAGACCCGGGAGCTTGTGCCTGGAGTCCTGCCAGTGGGACTGGTTCTGACGAGGAGCTCTGCAAACAGGGCATGCCTGGGTTTAATTTGAGAGAAGACGGGAGAGTTCTTAAATTAAAAAGCAGTGGATGCTGACGTCCCTGACCGTGTTTCGGCAGGAACCCACCGTAGCGTGTCTTTGGTTTATTTTCCGTGCCGCAAAAGGAGAGATGTGCACGTGCCTCTTCTCGTGGGGTGGCGAGACCTCTGCCCCGAGCCGGGCTGGGCTCCCTCGGGTACCTCTCCGGGGACTTGCAGGCATCTCCCCTCCCCGCTGCCTCCCTCCAGTCTCTCCCCCCGTGTCCTCAGCCCCCCCCGGGTCTGCTCTCTCCAGCGCTTCCCCCTCACCGCTGCCAGCCAGACCTCCTCTCGCTCCCTCCCCAGCCACGCTGCAGGAGCAAGGAGGTTTTTGAGTGTCGTTTCCCCCCAAAATGTGGAAATCGTAACACCTGCCCCTCCCTCGCCGGGGAAGGGATGGGTGCGATACGTGGTTTGTGTTTGGGGGTGATGCGATCCTGGCAACCCTCTGAGCACCTGTGAAATCGCCAAGCAGGAGGTGATAAAGACCCTCACTCCTGCTCTCCGCTAGACTTCAGCCCAGTTTGTTTTGTTTTCTTTTGTTTTATTATTTTTGGTTTGGTTTTTGTTTTGTTTTTTTAAATTTGGAGCAGTGAAACAGAGCACAAAATGTATTCCAAACAAAGTCCTCTGCGCAACCACTTCCTGACGGGGCACGAAAAGCTGCCCAGCACAACAAGGGATACAAGGATCTGAAATACCTACTGGTCATGGCTGAAGCCCGTATTTCCCTGTACTCCTAAGGGGCTTGTGCTCAGAATGAGCTGACGTTAAGAGCCGCAGTTTGTCCGTCTCCCAGAGGCCTTTCCCATCGCAGGCGCAGCACGAAAGCGTTTGCTGCGGGGACGAGCGGTCGTGATGCAGCTCCAGCAGCACAAAGAGGGTCTTCTGGCTGCTCGCACGTGGTGCCCCCCGAGTGCCTCCGAGATGGCTCCTCTGCTCTAAAGCTACCCTGGACCGAGCCGCAGCCTCTGGGCGCAGGTTGCGAAGCCCGGCAGGGGAAGGCAGCGGCTGGAGGCACCGAGGCGGCCGCTGTCTCGCAGCGAAGATGCTGAACCACTTGACGAGGGGCGGAAACTAAGAATGGGCTTCTTGCTGGTATCGTACTTCAGACCCTGACCAAGCACTCCTGCAAAAGATTTGGGCTTTATTGCATTTTACCCAGGCCAAGTCCTTCTGGTAATGTTTTTGCCATGTCTCACCATGGCTTCCCGGTTTGGTTTTTTTTGTTGTTGTTTTTTTTTCCCCCCCCATTTTAATTTTGTTCTTGATTTTCGGTGTGACTTGTTGTACTCTATGACAATAACCTTCTTAGCTCTAATGTCCCTCCTACCCCTCAGCAGTTGACCAAGCTCCACCAGTTGGCTATGCAGCAAACCCCCTTTACTCCCCTTGGACAGACCACCCCCGCTTTCCCTGGTACGTACCCACACGCCCTTTCTAGATATCCTTCTCTTCTTACCTGTAGAGTTTCTCTCTCTTTCTAAACTTGTGCTGTTTAAATAAGCAGGGCAAGTAAAGCTGAAGTTGCAATGTCCACAGGGGAAGGTTAACAGGGAGACAGGATGGACGTTTGGGGGTTACGGTCCTCACGGGCGAGCTCTCGGCCGTTAACCGTGCGCGCCTGGGCTGCTCCTGCGAAGCCACGCTTACCGTGCTCCCAGCTTTGCTGGCTTTCCCAGCAGAAGCGATGGGCGCCAGTCCCATGCTTCCCTGCCCAGAGGTGGTAGCATCCCCGGCCGTGCGCTGATCCGGACCCCGGTGGGACATCCCCGCTTTCCCGGGGGGAACGGCTCGGCGCCGGCCAGGGATGCTGCCCTGGAGTCTGTGGGGAGCGGTGCCGAGCCGGGCAGGACGGCACCCCTGCTCCGGGGAGAGCGATGGGAAGGGGCCGCGGCCGGAGG